CTTTAACCTCTCTTTCTCGAGAGGCTACTTGACTACTTGACTTTCTCAATGTATAAAAGCTATGCTAAAACATATAGGACTTTTGAGAGATGTGAGATTGAAAGATGGCCTTAACACTAAGGATTTTTAGGTATGATTTACCTATATACATATTCAAAGATATACATCTTTAAGATGTTATTAAACAACTTTTTTTAAACTTCTATAGAATCCCACTAAACTTATGCTAAAGCTAGCAAAGGAATTGCTAGATCATGCAACAAACCAAATTATTTAATACTTTTTGTAGTTTAGATTTTTATGCAACTTTTTAATTGAAGCATTAAGAAAAATGTACAGACATTATACTTAAAATATCTTTCATAGGGTCTATATAAACTCCTTTGATCACAACACCACTACTGAGCTGACCACAATACAATCTAGCTAGGATCCCAATACACTCTAGTTATCATAAGTTTCCATATAGCATGACAATATCAAAAGGATGCTTGCCCTTTTACCTTAGAGCAATTAACATGTAGAGCCCAAAATTTGTGTAAGCCTTCTGTAAGCTCAATTAGAGGCTTATTATCACTTTTGTAAAACAAGAGCAAAAGGTGCCCCATTGCATGTTTGCTCACATTGGCTGACTAATAGACATCATGTCATTTATAGATCTAGTGGATCTATTTGAAACATTTACTATCTACTTAGCAAGCTAGATTTGAAAATCAACAATTTTTAAAATAAAAGTTGTTGATTTTCAAATCTAGCTTACTAAGTAGATAGTTAATTTTTTTTTAAAAAAGCTTTCTATTAATTAAAACAATCATACCCGCCGTCAATTTCATGCTCCCAGAGCGTATGCCGTGATACCGAGGCATAGACCACAACACTGACTGGGTGGACCACACGTGCCGCGATTGCGTGCCTCTCCCACCACCGCTCATGCCTTCCAATCGGACGACCTGACGCACCTCAGTACATTCTGTGATTGATCCCCGTTACGTTCCGGAAAGACCATCCAACGGGTACTGTCCGATCGATGCCTGACATTTCCATCTGACGGCGCATAGCTCTAGTCCGTCCCCGCCCTCCGATCCTCCGCATCCAAGGGCTGCCGCGACTCGCATGAGCTGTAGCTATGGTGGCTCTCTCCTCCTCTGCGCCGCCATCTCAGACGGATCTTTAAAGGCCCGCCACTGACCGCCATCCTTTTAAAGCTTTTCTCTCGATCTCTTGGATATACGCCTTCGTCTTTCCAAGTCTAGAAGCTGGAGCAAGCAAGCAAAGATTAAAAAACATAAAGCAAAGGCAAATGACCAGGCCGGTATCAGGATGAGACTCCCCTCCTCTGATTGATTGATTGAATGAGCACAGCGCCCAACAAAGAAGACAGTGGCGGCTAGCGCACTCCTCCTCCCGTGCTCGATCACATTCACAGTTTGATCACTGTTCACATCTTCATATTCGAAAAGCAGAAGAGAAAGCAATTATTTTAACCCCCGCGCTGATTCCGTCCTGGGACTCGGAGAGAATATCACTCACAGTTTCCACGATCCAAATCGAAACCCAAGCTTTTGTGACGTGATCGCAATGTATAAAGCGATGGAAGCCAGGATTTGCTCTTAGATCTCACTCTTTTGCGCATAGAAAAACCCGAGAGCTAGAAGCCGAGAGGGAGACGACGGGTTCCTGTCACCATGCAGAAAGAAATATAATACTAAAGAGGGGGATAAATCTCTGATTGATTGGTGTACTTATAAATTACACTTTTTTTTGGGTGTGGTGGCTGTTGGATCGCAACGCAATCAGACAAGCAAGTTTCTTCAGTGCTTGATTTATTCATGGATCTGTCTCTGATCTGACTTCGATCAGTTATATTTTAACTAAGGTGAAACTACTTACCAGTTTAGATCGTTTTTGTTAGATCCATAGATGCTTACAGATTTTGCCACGGGAATGATTCAGATGAAGACGACGAAGTGTTGAAACAACATAAGAGCATCATGCATTATTTGCCATTCGCCTGAACACCTAGGCATTCGTGGATAGTCCCATCCGGCATCCCCAGACCATGAGTTACGCAGTCCTCGACCATTCAGGAAGAGAGCTGTACCTTTGGATCTAACATGGAACTTCCGGGTGTCTCCAAAACTCGAGGGCAACACGAAACACAAACTTACGTTAAACTCGGGGGACAAGCCAGAGCAGTGGTGGAATTTTTACAACACCAGTGCTACATACGAAGGTATCACTTACGTAATACATGCATTGATTCAAAGTTAACAATTCACCACTGAAAGAGGCAACGAGAGGTTGTCGAAGGCAGTCAAGCAGCTCAGGAACTGGTCGACTACAAAGATCTGCGAAGCCTGTGATCGAGCGAGTCTGAAGCCTTGGCCCCTACATGGTACCATTTAATTAAGTCCAGCGAGCTCCATCCGCATTGAGCGAGGAACCACTTGTGCAGCTTTTCAGCATTTGCGGGACCAGTTCCCCGGGATCCCTTGGAGCGAGAGAGATCTCCCTGGCCTCCTGGAAAGCTTCCCACCACCTCGCCATCTACCTGTGCAAAACGGAGGAGCTTCGACTTCAAATCCAAGAGAGTGTAGGGAGTGTAATTGTTGTCGTCGTTATCACTGATCATCACTAAAGCTTTAAGTTTACTCTCCATCTTTTGGACAAACACGAGCTTCTACGACAGCGTTTAAAGGAAGAAAACCAAAAGCAAATGCAGTGATTTCCCCTCTGATTGATTTCCTGGACGAGCACAGCGCCCAACAAAGACGACAGTGGCGGGTGGTACACTCCTCCCGTGCTCGATCACACTCACAGCTTGATCACTGTTGAGAAGAACGTATGATTCTAAAGCGGAAAAAGCAAGTGATTATATTAATCCCCGCGCGGCCGCATTCGGTACTAGAAGTTCTGGAGAGTGAATATCATCCAAATCGAAAGCCCAAGCTTTGGTGACGTGATCGATGTTTTAAAGCGATGAAAAGATCACGATCTCTCTCTCTCTCCCTCGCTCTGTCTAGAAGAACTCGAGCTAGAAGCCGAGAGGGAGACGACGGTGGTTCCTGTCACCCGTGGAACCATGCACAACTTGTCCACTGCCAAAAGAAGAGAGTGGAAAAAAAAGAAAGAAAGAAAGAAAGAAAAAGCACATATACAATACAAAAGAGAAAGCAAAGCTTTGATGTATATCTTATAGCTAGCTGTCTGCAGCGGCATCTATCTCAAAAGCTCGGCCATAGTTTGATTGATTGATCTGAGTCCCCCCTGGCACTGCGGGGGACTTGGAAAATTGTAGCCAAAGATCCACACAGAGAAACAACTCACCAACAAGAACACAGTCGCTCACTAACTATTACGTCTATGGTCTTGTACAGCGTACACAACTCCCTTCCACTGGAAGAAAACTAAGTGGGAAGATATCACACCTACATTAAAAATTGCGAACTTGTGGTCCTTGGGGAGGGTTTTTGGGGGGTCACTCAAGCACAAGCATCACACTGAGAGATCTGAGAATGCTGCAGAGATATGGGAGATCTAAGCAGCAGCAACAAGAAGCAGCACGGCAGCCAGTAGTGATGGCCCAAGGGCCGTAAGACAGCATATATTGTGAACTTTAAAAATGTGTTTTCTGTCATGGAGGTGGTGGTGTTTTCACTGTTGGATCGCAATCAGGCAATTATGGACAAGGTGGGGTGTTGTGAGTTGTGGAGATTTCTTTTTTCTTTCGTGCAAGTTATTTTATTCGTGGATGATCGCCCTGGTCCCTTTCCACTCTCTCCGTGGATCAGGCCAACGCAAAACCACGAACTTAGGAGAGATCCGGAAGCTATCATGCGCAAATCATCCAAGAGTTTAAGCTGTGGGTAACGGGGGAAAGGAGATAGACAAGGATCTACCAAGCTCCTTCCTGTCGACTTGTCTAGATTCTCAGAACCGGAGAACACGATAGAGACGAGGAGCCCAGAGAGCTGTCGGGAGGAACAAGCAAACGCAATGAACAAAAAGGTTGGCTTAATCTCTCTAATGCCTGCGGTGGACAACGAAGAATAAGAAAAAGAAGAAAAATAGGAAAAGGATAGATAGATGAGGACTCGAGAGAAAAGATCTCTCGTCGTCTCGGCTTGATGATCGCGGCGGTCGGGTCGGGTCACTACTCGATCCCAATGCATGTGCCTTGTCTGGCACCGGCATTCATTGGGCTTTTGACGTTTTCGGATCCATCCCGTGCTTTCTGGCTATGGCTGCTGCCTCCTCTGGAGCAAAGCCATCCATTTTTTTAATCTCCGCACAATGTTTTCATGGTGTTTAATATTCCACCTCTTCCCCGGAATCTCGTTTCGCTCGTCTCCCTCTCTGGTCGACGCCCGCCCTTCTTCTCTTCCTTCTGTGGCTTCTGTGGCTTCTGCTAGAGAGAGCTACTGGATCCTCCCAGTGTTGTTCTTCTTTTCTTTTCTTTTTTCTTCCAGAGACATGGAGGAAAAGAAATTCTTTCCTCACTGTTGGCCAAGCCAGGCCGGCCTCTGATCTGTCCGGAAACCAACAAGGCCGAGAAGGAAATTCTGTTCGTTTCTTTATGGCGATATCTATCTATCGGCTGGCAAGCTCGGCCCCCGGTCTCTGAAAGTGGTCACAGAGGTCGAGGTCGGAGAGAAAGAGAGAGGGATAGGGGAAGGACTGTTTGACGGAACGGATGACGAACAAAGAAAAAAAGAGAAAACGAGATCATCAAGCCATGCCAGCCTCCCTGAGATAGATCCCATCCACATTCATCATCCTCCTAGATAGATAGATCGATCGCTCCCTTCTCTTTTTTTTTTTCGACGAGATTGTGAGAGATCTTTCCTCATGCTCATTCAAGAGCGTGTCTCTTTCGATGGAGAATTGGGCGATCGTGTGTACGTTGATCTCTCTCACTCATTCACTCACCCGCGCAACTCCACTTGACTCCATCGATCGCTCGCTCTCCGTTCTGTCTGATCTGATCGCCTTATAAAAACTAGTGGTGTTAAGGTGTCTTGCGTTCTAGCTGCTACTATAAGCTAGAGACAAGGCGAGGGGTCAGCGTCTTGACGGATCTCTGTGAGCGAGAGAGAGAGAGAGAGAGAGAGAAAGTGGAAGAAAGGAAGGATTTTCATTTGGAGGCTCGCCATTATACCATCCTGCGCCGCTGCTGCTGCTGCGCTGCCGCTGGGCCTTTCCAAAGAATCCCCATCACTCACAAATCAATCCTCCAGTCCAGAGAAAAGAGCAAGCTTCTGATGAATCCATCGCTGTAGAAACAGTTCTTCGTCTTCGCTGCTACCTATAGCGGTCTCTTGTTGGCTTCTTCTTTCTTCTCCTTCCTTCCTCTTCTCTGGCCGTGAGCTCCACGACGAAGCCATGGAATGGAATGCAGCATGATTGCTGCGATCTCCTGTGGTGTTCTTCCTGTCCCTCTCTCTCTCATCCCCAGGGTCTCTGGTAGCCGCGGCAGGGATAAAAGGAAGAGATCTTTCGATTCGAGGACCACCAACATCATGTGTTCTTGATCAGTGCTGGGCGCCGAGGAAGATCGAAGAAAGAAAAGATCCTAGGCTAGATGAAAAGGGAAGAACGAATGGAGGCGGCGTCGTCGCCCAGTACCTGCCTCTCGCTATCCTCCGATTTCCTGAGCCCCGCCAATTCGGTGGTGAGCTCCTCGTGGCCCAATTCCTGCAATAGCTCGCCCAAGCGGGGATTCGCCGCCGCCAGTTCCTCCTCCTGCCCCAGCTCGCCCACCAAGCGATTCCACCTCCACTGGGATCTCGCCGATCCGGCTGCCGCCGCCACCGCCACCGCCGCCGCATCCTTGCCCTCGCTGGCGGTCGACTGCACGCTATCGCTCGGCAATGCCCTGACGCGATCGAGATCAGCGGATCTCAACGAGGTGCCCAATCGGCTGTCGCGCGCCGGATCGCCCATCTCCGAGCCGGCCAAGACGATCGATCCTCCAAAGCTGGCCTCTCCTCCTTCCTATCAGGTAATGGCAAAGAGAATGGATAGAAAGAAAATGGACCGTTTGAGAGAAGAATGGTGTTCTTGTGTCTCCTCCCATCGCTACATTCTTTCTTTTCATTTCTTTGCTTCGTTCCCTTGCTCGCTTTGTTCGCTTGTCTGGGTGATTGGTGGAAGTGTTGTTTCTCTCATCCGGCTCCACTGTTGGTCGCGATTTTTTAACTCCATTTTTTTATCCTTGGTTTCCTGCTAAGCTGACAAGCACACTATATGTGATCTCACGATCTCACACACTCTTTCTTCTTGCATTGCAGCAATCTGGAACGCACTGGGCGACGAGCAACGAGCTCTTCCTCCAGCAGCAGCGGGCTTTCTCCGCCGAGGCGGCCGCTCGAAGGATCGCTGCCGCCGCCGCCGCCGCTCGCTTCGCCGCCCACAGCACCTCCAAGGACTTTTACGCCCGCCACCCAGTGCTGCATTCACAGTTTCCGGCCGCCAACTTCTCGCCGTCCCAGGAGCTTCACAAGTTCGGGTTCCTTGAGTTTAACACGGGTGGCAGCGGCGGCGGCGGCAACGGCAATGGCGGCCTGGGGAGCAAGAACAATTTGGATCCGTGCTCCACCCGCTCCAGGTTCCGTGGAGTGGACGCTCACGTCGACCCGCGCAACGTTCCCAGGATCTGTGCTCACTGCGGGACGAGCTCCACGCCGCTGTGGAGGAATGGTCCGCTCGGCCCAAAGGTTCGTTTCAGTGTCGTTTTTTTTCTACTCTTCTCCTTCTCAAACGCAAGTAAACTTTCCATGGTGAATTCCTTCTCACGTCTATGCTGCTCGTGTTCTTCTTGCAGTCTCTTTGCAATGCTTGCGGCATAAGGTTCAAGAAAGTCGGGAGACGCAGCCCGGTCACCGTTACTCCCGTCACTGCAGCCGCGTGGAATCAATCCGGCAGCAGCTGCGATGATCTGGGAGGATTCGCTAAGAGCAGGAGCGATAAAAATCTGGGCGAACAGCAGCAGCAGCCAGTGATCGCTGCGATCCCACCAAAAACGTCTCTCGTTCACCCAGCTCAAGCTTATCATGTCGACGACAAGCGGCTTTGCCGGATGGATCAAAACGCCGCCACCATCGCCGCTAACGCGAGCGCAATCGCTCTTCCATTCGCCAAGGAGTGGAGCAGCAACGATCAATCGCCGTGCAGCAGCAATGCCGTGGGCAGCAGCTGCATAACTTGGCAGGACAGCATGCCGCCGGCGGTGTGCGTCGATCAGCCCGGCAGCGAAGATTGTTCCAAGGCCAAGGTGTTTGCTCGTCCCGATCCACACCACCACCACCACCACCAACACCACTCTCCTCTCGTGCTGGATGCCGAGATCATACGGTCCGTGGCGCCGGTCAAGGCGGTCAGCACGGTCAGCGGGCACGGTCAAAGTAAGGAGGAACAAGGCAGGTTCTTGAGAATGTCGCTCTGAGCGCTCTCCAGTAGGCAGGCGGTGGGAAAGAAAGTATCTCTTATTATAATATTTGGGATTGGAAGCCACAGCGATCACGCCTCGATCGATCGCTCGATCCATGGATGGATCGATCAAAAAGAGTGTGGTGTAGCTTTCGATCTGCCTGGAGCAAGGCAGGCATTTTAAGAGGAATTTTAACTAACTTTTGTTGGCTTTTGTGGGGTGGTGTAGTGGTGGCTTTGTATTGTTTGTTGGTTTCTGGAGCGTGCTCCATGAATTAAGCTAAAACATGGAAGGAATCGTTTCATCGCGTATCTCTTTAGACCATGATACGAATATAATCGATCTTGATCGATATCTGGAGAATGGTGGCGGTGGCGATCTTTCGTATAGTCTATAAGTTAAAAGGAGGATGTCCTGGAGGAGACAAGACACATAATTCATCGAGGTTTGTTTTGTTCGCTTGCTTTGTATTGTGCTCTTTCCTTCACTCATTTCGTCCCATCAGTGTACTCGCTCCTTGTGCGATCAGAGATTTTCATCGATCGGGTCGGGGCCCGGGGGTCGAGTCGGGCGATTCAAGCTGGCTAGATTGTTCGTTCATCGAATCATTTAGAACCTTGAAAGCTGCGCTAAGAATGTGTGTGTAGGTAGTGTAAGTGTGTGAAAATGTGTGTAGATGTGTGTGAGAAGTTAGTGCTACTTGGCTATGGCGCTCTAAGCAAGCCTCGTCTGTAACTGGTGCGTGGAAGAAGAGTTGGAGTTTGGGTTTGCTCCATAATGGCTGTTCTTCGTTCTTCCACTTGACCATTGACTGGCTATGGCTAGTGTCAGCATTTCCAATTTCTTGATTGAGGATTTGCGAGTAATCAAATTTGTCTCATGTGGCTCTGGGGCCTGGTCAGATTGTTTTGAATTAGAGAGAATGGAGCTTGTGAATGAAGGATGATTGCGACGGATTGATTGATCAGGCGAGTCGAGCAGTGGCAGCAGCGATCGCCGCGGATGCGATGGTGGCAACTGCGACGTGTGGATCATGCGGGGGAGGACTGGAACTTGGAAGAAATCGAATGAATGCGGCGATGTGAACAGCAGTCTAAGGTTAATGGTTTCGCTAGCTTCTCGCCGGGCATTTACTTGGGACACGTTCAAGCGACAAAATCTCCTCGGATGGAAGCAAAGAAACTCGAAGGAAACGGGAAAGAAAGCAAAGGTGGTGTGGTGCTCTTCCTTGATTTGATTAGCTTATGAGTTTGAGCTTGGAGCTATGGCGGATTTACCTGGGAAGGAGGAGAGCTACCTATACGGCCTTAAATAGCTAGCTGAGAGGAAGAAGAAGCGTCCCTCCCTGTCCTCCCTCTCTCTCTCTCTCTCTCTCTCTCCTCTCTCTCGCTTTCTTCGTTTTCTGGGAATGTGGTATGGAGGAAATCCCGTTGCGAGGTTTCTGGCGACGACCAGGAGGGGGAAAGAGAAGAAGAAGACGAAGAAGCAAATACGTTTAGATTGATGGATGGATGGATTGATTGATAGATCCAGCAAGCACGTGTGGAGCTAGCGAGAGCAGCGCAGTGGGGTCGCTCTGGCACGCGCTAATCCGGAGGATCGCGTGAGCTCGATGATTTTCTGGAGCTCTCTCGCGATGGATTGATTGCTTGATAGCGGCCATTGACGGGGAGGTGGCTGCTGGCGGCGAATTTCCCCGTCGCCCTAGCGCAGCTTACCCGGCGCATCGATCGATGGGTTCTTCCCAACCGCAAATGACGGAGATCATCCCAACTCCTCGGAAATTTAGGGTTCTTGGGATAACTTGATAAACCCTAAAATCTTCTTTCTCTGGGACGAGCGATTGTGCTGCCGCTGCGGGACCAGCGCGTCGCGGCGTGCAGCTGGAAGGCCCGGCCGCTGGAGAGGCGGGCGAAAGATCTCCAGGGTTTTCGGAGCTAGGGCATGCGGCATTGCATGCAGCGGCAGCAGGAGCGCGAGCGATGGAGGTGGATGTGTGCGACGATTCTCGCTTTCTTGCCGGGGAGCTTGTCGAGGTAAGCGCTTTCTTGCTTCTCTTCTTCCGAGGTTCTAGCGGGGGAATATTTTCGAAGCACAGGTCAGGAAGAATGGAACGCGAATTTGCTGGTGCCCGGCAAAGGTTGTGGAGGCCCGAGCTAGAATTAGGATAGTGGAGTACGATTCTGGTGGGAAAGAATCGATTTCTCTAGGCAGGAATTCCGAGGCATCCAGTCGGGTGAGACCAAGACCGCCGGATCGCTCGGAAATGTGTCGTGGAGACTGGCAGAGGGGGCTCCGCGTAGAGGCATTCGACGATTCTTGGCGAGAAGGCCTGCTGCTGGACGTTCCCGGGGTCTTCTCGACGCATGTACAGGTGTTCTTCCCGGATGACGGGGAGAAGCAGGAGTTTAGTGTGGATAGTTTGAGGGTATCCCAGGCATGGGATGCTTCAACAAATGCGTGGAGTGGCAGGGGTTGCGGGGCTTTGGACGGCGTGGTTGACGCTGGAATTAGCAGGTTTTCGAAGCCTCAAAAGACCTTTCAGCGGAAGAAGAAGCGGAAAGAAGTGGAGAGCGTGGAACCCGAGGCCAAGAAACCGAAGAAGGAAGTTCAAGTAAAGCAGGAACTCGATGGGATTCAACCGGAAGCTCTTCAGACTGGTGCTTCCTCAGACTTGGTGGTGGATGTCAAGAACGAGTCGTTAGAGCCCGAGTGGATGGAAGACAGTGATTTGAAGCCGGATAATTCACGTACGTTCCAGCCGGACGGCGACGGCGAAGGTTACTGCCTCACAAGGACGCTGTCGATTCCTGTGTGCTGCATAAACACGCAGGCGGAGGATTCGTTGTTTGGAGACGAGCACAAGGTTAGCGAGGACGACAAAGTTGACGGGAGTTGTAGCGAGCGTGCCTTGTGCACGATGGATAGCAGCAGCCAGGGGAGCTTTCATTCTGCTCACGACGTGAATGTCGAGCGGAACAGACTGGCTCTTTCGCGAATGCTCAAGAGGCAGAAGGTTCCCATTGATTACAGCCGGAGAGAGGAGTCACTCAAGGCCGCTCGCGAGAATGCGATCAAGAACCTTGAGGAGTCCGGCTGGAAGAAGGGTTACAGAGAGAGACATCGAGAGAGTCGAGTTTCCAATGAGGCCTACTACATCTCACCGGATGGGACTAGCTATCACTCGCTGACTTCGGCATGCAAGGCTTGGATGCAGCAGAACAAAAACGTCCCCAAGCCTGTGAGGGACGCCATGCACTCGTATCAGCTTCAAATAATCGTGAGAAGGAAGCCTGGGGAGCTGCTACCTGATTCAAATGGCGGAAAGAGGAGGTTGAGGGCATCGAAGAAACTGGACCCGTCAATGAAGTCCAAGAAGAGCGAACGGCCAAGGCTGAACGCTCTTTTGTTGGCTCCAGATAGGGGGAAGCAGGATGGCGGAGACGAGAAGGCCAACAAGCGCATGTCGATTTTCTCCTGGCTTATAGACGGAGAAATCTTATCAGAGGGCGCTGCGGTCTCATACGTGAACAAGGACTCAAACCAAGTTGCGAGTGGGGTGATCAGTCGCGATGGAATCTTGTGCAAGTGCTGCAACGAGGTGTTTAGCATGACGAGCTTCCAGGTTCACGCAGGCGATGAAGTTCACAGGACGGCCGCACTGCTAACTCTGGAAGATGGCCGCTCTGTGCTTGAGTGCCAGAAGCAGGCCCTCAAGAAGATAGAGCAAGCGAAGTGCGATGAGCCTGCGAACGGGCAGCTTACCGTGGATGAAAGTGATGAATGTTGCGGTCTCTGCGGAGAGGGTGGTCAGCTCATATGCTGTGATCACTGCCCAGCAACGTTCCACCTCCATTGTATTCTGCTAAAGGTAATCTACCTCTTGTGGATATCTCTTGTCAGAAGCGAGTAACTCGGCTGTTTCTCTTCTATAGAGCCTTCCGGAAGGAGATTGGTTCTGTCCGAGGTGCCGCTGTCCTGTTTGTGGCGCTGGTCAGTTCGATGGGCGCGAAGTTTTATATTGCACCCAATGCGAACGTAACTGTGAGTAGAATAAAAAGAAAAATCTGTGAGCTAAATCACGCTGTCTATCTGCAGATCATGTCGAGTGTCTCAACGACGGAGGCGCGTCTTTTGCTTCAAGTCGTTTCTGTAGCCAAACGTGTCGAAAGGTACGATCAAAAAGTTTTTGTGATGCTTGGGGAAACATTGTTGTCACTTTGGACGCGTGCAGATCTTCTGTGGCCTTAGAGAACTCGTCGGAAAAACGAGCCCCATGGACGGAGGATTTAGTTGGACCCTTCTCCGTTCCGCGGACCTTGACGAGGATGCGGATATGGAAACGGTAACCGCACACTGTAGTAAAATTGCCCTCGCTCTTAGCGTGATGCGAGAGTGCTTCTCGCCCATGATTGATCCCCGGAGCAAAATCGACATAATTGCTCATATTTTGAAGAATCGAAGGTTTGAGCTGTGTTTTTTCCTTGGGTTTACATGACTCTCATCAATCTGAGATATGGTTGCAGTGCCGATGTGAAAAGGCTGGATTTTCGTGGATTTTACACCATCCTCTTGGAAAACAACAAAGATGAGCTCATATCAGTTGCTGCTGTTAGGTCTGTGTTTGGTCGTTTGTTTGAGCTCTGTTTGCCGACTGTTGCTGTTATTTTGGTAGAGTTCATGGCACCAGTATTGCGGAGATGCCACTGATTGGAACGCGGCTTCAATATCGTAGGCAAGGAATGTGCCGGCGGCTTTTGGAGGTGATCGAGCAGGTATGGTTACTCTGTTCTTCTTTGTTTCCTTGGAGCTAATAGTGACACATATTTCCTAGGTGCTCAGATCACTGAATGTACATACATTGGTTTTGCCGGCGGTTCCCGAGCTTCTAGACACTTGGATCGGTGCTTTCGGCTTTCAGAAAGTCTCGCCTTTCCAATCAGTCCGGCTCCTGGAGCTGAGCATTGTTGGATTTCCGGGAACGAAAGTTTTGCAGAAACCTCTGACGTGGTTGAATTTGTGCCGAAAGATTGCGCCACCTCTAGGTAGAAAATCTCTCTTTTTCAGATGGATCTGACACGAAAGTATTGCGTTACAGCGGAGAAGCCCTGGGCGCCAGGCAGCAAGTTGCATATGGGACTTGAACCGGAGCCGAGGAGGAAGCCTAAACAACAGAAACATCCAGCACCGAAAACAGAAGAAATCAGCAAAGAAGTTGGAACTCCGACGCCTGTTTTGCCAGAGCCTGGTAATGCAGTGGCTCTTCTCCAAGAGGAAGTTCCAGCCTTGAAGGAAGGACCCACAGAGGACTCGAGGATAGTTGTTGCCAAAACGAGATCGAACCGGCTGGTAAGCTCGTGTGTTTTATATCTGGTTTAACGGCGATGAGACTGTCCTTCCAGGTGAAAACATCGAAAAGAGTGGCCGAGGCTTTGAAGACGCTCACAAACAAGAAGTTTCAGCCGCCGGAAGACGCAGCGGAAGAAACGGAGGAGGTGGAGAACACCAGCGAGTTATCGTTTCTAAAGCTGGGATCGTCACATATCGTTCTAGACAGCGCGGAGCTCGGCGCTGCTCCCACGGCCAGCGGCTCGGAGATCGTAGAGCTCGCGTCCTCAAACAACGAGACGAGAGAAGAAGAGAACAGCCACGCCGTGGTGGTGGATCCAAAAGAAACTTTGGAGCAACAGCAGGCTACTCCGGAGAACAAGAGCGACGAGCTCGTCTTTCTCTCCAGGATGAAGGGAAAGACGTGCGTTACCTGTGGAACCAGCGAGACACCGATGTGGAGAAAAGATCCAGGAGGTATTAAGGTAGTCTCAAAATCTCGTTTTTTCTTCCTCCTTTCGATCATTCACTGTTTTCGTGGTTTCAGCACTTGTGCAATGCTTGCGGCATTCGATCGAAGAAGAAACAGCACCAAAACTCAACCGAGAATTTCACTTGGGAGTACGAAGAAGAATGTGAGTGTTGATACAGGAGTTTTTCATTCAATGGACAAGAAGAAAAAAAGAGAAAGAAAAAGAAAAGGCCGTTAGATCGCTTATTTTGCTGTGCACCGTTGGATCCATGCATCCTGCGGTCAGCGGAAAGGTCTAGACTCCGTTTGTGTTCACACTGGGACTTGGCCAAGGACAGGTGCCCTTGGGACTCCATAGCCATTGTTACTTCGTGGGCGAGGGAGGGGATTGGCGCGCCCTTGGGTCTTGGAGCTCGGTCGCAGTGGGAGCTCGCAGGGTTAGGCGCTGGATATTTTAGCTGTGCGTGGGGATAGCGCGCGCGAGGAAGATCGATCGGTATTTCGGGATTGGATGGTAGAGCAGTCGCAATGCAGCAGCAGGAGGGAAGCTAGGGCCTGATCCGCGGCGGGAAGAAATCGCGGGATTGATTTTTAGGTCTCGGTGGGAGGGGATGCAATGCGGGAATCTTGGCTGCTAGCAGTGGGATGGGATCTTTGCCTCACAGCGCCTGTGGCAATGGCTTCGCAGAGGTAGATAATCTGATAGCGGGATCCGCGAGTAATGTGAAGGGCGATTGGGCTGGCTTGGGAGAATGTAACAGCGTCGGGGATGGTGTCCCAGCTCCCGATGAAATGGTGAATGATACTCCTCCAGGTAACGCTCCTTTTCTTTTCCTTGCTAGGTTTGTTATCCATTGGATTGATCGCGATGATTGGATTGACGCAGTGGCGGAGTTGGATTCACAAAACGGTAGCAGCAGCGATGGTGGATCGTTACTCGGCACGCTTGTAGAGGTATGCTCGTAGAACTCATGTCTTCTCTCCCTCCTTTTTTTCTTTCTTATCAAGTGGGATCTACAACAGGTGAGACACAGGGCCACCGGCTATAGAGGATCGTGGCATCCAGCCAAAGTAGTGAAGATCGACTCTGGTCGTGGGCTGGTTGAGTATGAGAAGTTGCTCGCTAGAGATGGCTCGCCACACTTTCAAGAGTATGTTCCATTTAGAGAAGGCTTGGAGGTTCTCTTGAGGCCGCGGCCACCTCCACTTACAGGGAAAACACAGGAAGTCTGGCAACGGGGTCTTTGGGTCGATGCCTTCTACGGGGATGCTTGGTGGGAAGGCGTGCTCATGGACAATGTCCAACTTCCGGACGAGGACATGCAGGTGTTCTTCCCCGATGAAGGAGACAGGAGGGGATTTGGCAGGCAAAATCTACGGGTTTCTCAAGAATGGGATAGTACTACTGGAACCTGGAGGCAGAAGGGACAGTGGACAGATCTGGCTCTGATCGAGGGGAGGAAGATACGTGTCAAGAGGACTTTCGCAGTCAAGCCCAAACAGTCCGGGGATACTTCGTCTGGAATTCTTGTGGTGAACGACATGGGAAAGCGGAAAAGGGACGAGAGTATGTCGGATACTGATGATGACGAGACAATCTATGCGTGGTGTACGAGACACAGAAAAAAGCTGCCTTCCAGGATTGTCAAGCTTCCAGAAGCGGATGATGGCATTTGTCCAGGGAATGGAAACGATGCGGATGATTCAACGAATGCTGGCCGTGAGGGGGAAAAGCAGAAGGAACAGCAGACTAATGGAAGCCAGAAGAAACAGCAGAGTAAACTAGAATCTGGAAGGGATAAGCTGCAGGGGGGTTCCCAAGTCGCAGGTTCCGGTTTAATTTCTGAAGAAGCGGGAAACCATGTTGGAGGAGATAATCAGGTGGATAATATACAAGCGATGATAATGAGGAGTGGCCTAACCCCTCTCGCTACCAAGCTTGAAATGCTGCGTCTAGAGTTGATGGGATCCAAAGGAGAAGAAGCAGTAGGTAGCAAGAGTCACTCTGGCAGGAAAATCTTATGTGAGGGAGAAGAAGCAGTTGGGAACAAGAGTCACTCTGCCAGGAAAATCTTGTGTGGGGGAGAAGAAACAGTAGGCAACAAGAGTCGCTCTGCGAGGGAAATCTTGTCTGAGGGAGAAGAAACAGAAGGGAACAAGAATCACTCTGCCAGGAAAATGTTGTGTGAGCCAGTTTCAATCGAGGTAACCCGTCGTCGTTCCTATCGCAAGCTAGTAGACGCTACCGAGCTGATTGAGGAGGCACAAGCCAAGGACGACGAGGCATGCACCCGCAGTACTAAAAACTCGAGGCACTGGGCGAGTCAAGATTCATCTATTTCTTCCAAGGGTACAGTATTGGCAGTGGCACGAGATAAAGCCAGAAAACTCCTCTTCGAATCAGGCTGGACAGTTTGCCACAGACTGAGAGAACGATTTAGCAGAACAGCAAAGGAGCCGTTTTATATCTCCCCGGAGGGGAAGCCGTACATGTCACTAGCGACCGCATGCAGAGAATGGTTGCGCCGGAACAAGCACGCTAAGCCTGCAAAGGACCGTGTGAAGCTTTCTCATCTTCAGCTCATTGCCAGAGGTGATTATGGTTTTCTTCCTCGCTCTGGGAATGAGGGTAGTCAGATCGTATCTTGGCACAGGACTCGGAATATTAGAGAGGACAGTGTAGAAGAGACCGCGAAGCAGAAAAAGCTAACAAAAAAAGGGAATAATGACAACAGGAATGGGAGGTCAAGAACAGGTTGTCGACTGGAGGCTGTTTTATCTACACCTACAAGGCCGAGGCAAGAAGAGGACGCTGAAGTAAGCTTCATCAAACGCATGACACTTTTCTCCTGGTTGATCGACATGGCAGTTCTCAATGAGGGTGAGAAGATCCAGTTAGTGAACTCGGACACAAACCTCATACACAGTGGAATTGTTACGAGCGACGGAATACTGTGCAACTGTTGCAAGAAGAACTTTTCAGTTTCTAGCTTTCAGGCGCATGCTGGCGCCACAGGAGGAGCCTCCCAAATGCGTTTGCCTGACGGGAGGTCTATCCTAGACTGCCAGTTAGCGGCTCTGAAGGCGATGGAATTAAAAGAGTCAGAGCTCGTGGTTGATGACGTTGAAATGGATGAGAACGACGACACTTGCGCGGTGTGTGGAGATGGTGGTCAACTCGTCTGTTGTGATCACTGTCCATCAACATTTCACCTGAAATGTCTTCGTCTAGAGGTACGCAATCAGTCACTCGCCAGTTGCTCCAACTGTTTTGTTTGTGACAGAATGTTCCCGAAGGCGATTGGTTCTGTCCCAGGTGTTGCTGTGCCAGCTGTGGCCGCAGCTTATACGATCCGACCATCCAAACCGAGATCCTGTACTGTGATCAGTGCGAGCGCGAATGCGAGTAGAATTGAAAAAGTTTGTGTCGATAGCTAACCCGTTAGTGTTTTTCAGATCATTCCAACTGTGTTCCTGGCTGTGCAATGAAGTACGAATCTAGTGATAACCAGTTCTGCAGTCGAAAGTGCTTCAAGGTATGCTCTTTCTAAAAAATATTTATCGTTTCATTTCATGGTTTGAGTAACAGATTTTTCGAGGCTTGAGGAAACTGGTTGGGAGGGTAAACAAAGTGGATGACATGTACTCCTGGACGCTGTTACGCTCAGAACATTATGATCAATCCGCAGAGAACTCCAAGTTGGAAAGTGTTGCAGATTTAAATACACGCCTGGCGCTTGCTCTCACCGTCATTCAAGAGTGCTTTCGACCGATGATTGACCCTCGATCAAATATAGACATGGTTTCTCACATCCTTTATAACCGAAGGTGACTGAAATCCTCTTTTCTGGTCGGTCCTTTAACTCGCCGCTCTTTGTACAGAGGTGAAGACAAGCGTATGGATTTTCGTGGCTTTTATACTGTGGTATTAGAGAAAGAGCAGGAGTTGATCTCCGTTGCGTCCATGAGGTGAGTCAAGTCAAATTTGAAGGGGTTAAGAGTGACAATTTGAGTGACCAGAGTCCATGGATCTCACGCTGCGGAAATACCTTTCATTGGAACCCGGTCTCAATATCGAAAACAGGGAATGTGTCGGCGCCTCATAAATGTCATTCAACAAGTAAGCCTGCTTCAGTGCTTAGGTGTCTTAGTAGCTTACTGTGCTAAATAATGTGAAAGGTTCTCCATACCTTGGAAGTTCAAACACTAGTCCTTCCGGCGATCGCAGAGTTTATAGAAACATGGACAAGCGCTTTCGGGTTCCAAAAACTGACTGCTGCTCAGGGAATCCAACTTATGGAGCTGAACATCGTGACTTTTCCGGGTTCAAGTGTCTTGCAAAAGCCTCTCACTTGGCTAGAATGCGGGCGAAAATTGACACCTGTTGCAGGTAATAGTCAGTACCCTCTGTCTCTTCTTATAATCTTTCTATGCTTGCAGAGGAGTTGGCCTACCAGTCTCTCTTAGGTGAAGAATCGAGTGCGGAGAAAACCGATGACGAAAAAGTGTTGGCAAAACCAATGTCAAGAAGGGCTCACCACCGTTCGGAACGGAAATTACAACCAGAGAAAGCGTTGGAAATAAATCGACAGCCTGGTGTACAAGCTGAGAAAGCATTGGAAGCAAATCGACAGCCTGCAAAGGTGCCTGGTCTACAACCTGAGAAAGCATTGGAAACAAATCGACAGCCTGCAAAGTTACCTAGTCGGTTTTCTGCTAGCAAATCGTTCTCGGCTCCGAAAGTCTTGCACACAAGGCGAGCTCCAGCCAGCTCTCCCGAATCGAGTGAGGATCACCAAGTGTACGTAAATTTTTATGCCTTGCAACAACATTTTTTTATATATCCACGTTTGTGTTTTCAGTGTGGAGATAACAAAGCCAGTCGTAGTTGCAAAAACAAGATCCAATCGGCTGGTAAGCTCAAGTTTGGAACTCTCTCAGCTCCATTTCACTCGCTTAATTGCTACAGGTGAAATCTTCCTCGTGGATAGCTCATGGCTTGAAGTCACTTCGGAAGCCTGAGATGAAAAGCAACAAGCCTTTGGAGAGCTCGAGTTGTCTTCAAGACAAACGAGAGCAGCCAAAGAGGAATGGTCGGAGCGTGCAAGACGAAGAGATGGATTGGATTGAACAACAGGCGGCTCAAAGCAGTAGAGACGCTGCGGTTAAATCACCTCCACGTACATTCTCGAGACGTCCTCGTCCCCAGCTTCACGAGAGGGACAACCATGTACATAACACATTGCTACAAATTCAAGGTAACAGGTTCTCATTAGTTTTTTTGGGTCTAAATTCCCGTACTTGTTTTGTTTGCCCAGGATCTAGCGAGGATACAGCGCAAAAGGATCTGGGAGCGCTGTGGATCACAAAGTGGCCCAAGAGCAAAAGGTCCGTTCTTCCTAGACATTACAGAGCTCGCTTCAAGATCGAGGCGAAAGCTACAATCACAACGAGGTCGCTAAGAAGAAGCGAGCTCAACAAGCAGTGAATTATCGACTTTGGAAGCAAAGGACTAGGTCGAAATGCGGAGGAGGTTCAGCAGCAGCAGCGGCGGCGGCGGCAACGGTGGCAGCGGCGGAGTGGTGGAAGTGATCAGAAGAACAGCAGCAAATGGCGCTCACAAGAACGGCAAGAACGGCAGCAATGGCAATGGTGGCAACAATGGTGGCAGCAGAAACGGCAGAAGCGGCGAGGAAGAGGCCCTCGTGAAGCTCATGGAGGAATCCCAGGTGGCGGGCAACTACGCAGCTCTGGGCGAGTCCTCCACGAACCTCACGCCACGCACGGTCACCAGAGTCCTACGCGAGCTCACCTCCTCGTCCCTCGCGCTGCGCTTCTTCCGGTGGTCGCAGCAACAGCCGCGCTTCCTCCACAACACCTTCACCTGGAACACGCTCCTGGCCGCGATGGTCCGCGCCGGCAGCCACAACCGGGCGCTGCAGCTCTTCCGCGAGAACCCATGCCAGCTCCCGGCCTCGAGCGTCACCTACAACGTCCTCATCCGCGGCTTCTGCAACGCCAGCGACCTGGACGCCGCCTTCTCGCTGCTCCGGGAGATGGACGTGGAGGGCATGCAGTGCAACGATCGCACCACCAGCATCATCCTCCAGGGGCTGTGCCGCTGCGGCCGCGTCGCCCAGGCGCTGGAGCACTTCGACGCCTCCCTGGAGCTCGCGCACGCGCAGCCGGACGTAGTCTCCTACACCACGCTCATCAACGGGCTGTGCAAGCTCGGCCGCGTCGACGCCGCCTTCGATCTCTTCCGGAAGATGGTGGCCGCGGGGGGGTGCCGCCCAAACGCATTCACGTACAACGCGCTGGTGGACGGGCTGTGCAAGCAGGATCGGCTGGACGCCGCGCGGGCCGTCATCGCCGAGGCCCGCAAGCGCGACTTCGCGCCGGACGTGGTCACGTACAACACGCTCATGGCGGCGCTCTTCCAGCTCGGCCGCGTCGACGAGGCGCTCGCCACCTTCACGCAGATGACCGAGGAGGGCTACGTCCCCACGCTGGTGAGCTTCAACGCCATCATCACCGGGCTGTGCCGCGCGCGCCGCCTCGCCGACGCGCTCGAGGTGTTCAACGAGATGATCGACCGCGACTTCCACCCCAACCTCGTCACCTACAGCGTCGTCATCGACGGGCTGTGCAAGTCGGACCAGCTCGACGAGGCGCAGCAGCTCCTGGACAGGATGGTCTCGGAGGGATGCCGCCCGGACCTCGTCGCCTACACTCCGCTCGTCCTCGGCTTCTCGGCCGCCGGCCGCCTCGACTCGGCGCTGGGACTGCTCCGGAGGATGGTTTCGCAGGGATGCATCCCGGACGTGGTCACGTACACGGTGGTGATCGACAAGCTGTGCAAGGTGGGCCGGGTGGACGACGCGCACGAGATCTTCCGCGAGCTGGTTGCGAACAAGTGCTCGCCGAATGTGGTGACTTACAGCGCGCTCATCGGGGGCTACTGCCGGGCGAGCCGAGTGGACGAGGGAGGCAAGGTGATGAGGGAGATGGCGTGCCGGCCAAACGTTGTCACTTACAACACCATGATCTGGGGGCTGTCGATGGTCGACCGGAACGAGGAGGCGTATGGGATGTTTCGCGAGATGAGCGAGTGTGGATTCGTGCCGGACGCGCGGACGTACCGCGGGCTCAAGCGGGCGTTGAGGATGATCGATCATCCTCCTCATGTTTTGACGGGAGCTTAAAGCAAGATTTTAGGGCTCGTGATGGACTTCCATGGACAGTGATTCTTCGTCTTCCAGATTTCCAGCTCAGGTAGGCGCGTCTCGATCGTGGAAGCTTTGATTGAAATCGTTGCAGGAGGCCGCGATCTTTGCGGAAATTCTGGATTCGCTCATCGTGGATGTGGCTGCCGAGGCGCACCGGGCCGCGCGGCTGGGATTTGATCCGAGGATTGAGATGGGCGAGGAGGAGGAGCTCCGGCTGTCGTCGCAGGCCAGGAGCTTGGCGGAGAGTGGCAGTGGTGGGAGCGAGAGAGGAGGAGGAGAGAAATATGTGGTGGATGTGTTTGGGCAATCGCATCCCGCGATCGCGAGCCAGCAGCTCCAGTGCATGAATTGCGGCCGCTCCGTCGCCGCTGGGCGATTTGCTCCTCATCTCGAGAAGTGCCTGGGCAAGGTACTGTCGGCGATCGCGCATTCGTGCTTGTGATGATAGTTTGGTTCGCGCTCTCTTGATTTCACAGGGCCGGAGGACGCGAGCCGCGGCGAACAAGAACGTTTCGAATGCCGGGCAGCAACGAAGGCCTCGATCGGGCAACAGCAAGAGCAGCAAGAGCAGCGGCAGTGCGAATCACGTAAAGGATTCCAACGAGGAAGATCCATCTTTGATTTTGAAAGTTTAGGGTTTAGGGTTTATGCTCTCGCATTCAAAGTGTTCAAGTAGGTGTCCAAAGATCAAAGATATCGCAGAAGGAGATCATCTATGGCGGTGCCCGTGCCGGATCCTTTCGCGCTCCTCCCGGACGATGTGGTGGTCAGCTTTCTCCACCGCATGGTCGCAACATCGAGCCAGTTCCAGGTAGCGTCGATTATCATCCAGGATCTGTCAAGACTCAAGAGGCACTGTCGCAGCAGCTATCCAGGGCGAAAACCTACTCACTGTGTTGCGTACTAGCAACATTGATGCGCCTTTTCTTGTGTGCCGCTCTGCTATCGCTCGAAAGCTTGGGGTTGCTACCACTGCGTGGGTGATCTGCGCGAGTGCGTGCAACTTGACGGTGATTCGTATCACTGCAAATTTCATACCATTTCAAGAGACTTGGCTGAGATCCTTGCAAGCTCAAGGGTGATGGATATCTACTCAAGCCTGAGCTTTGGGGATACCACGAAGGATCTACAGCTGCTTTTCGACATAACCAGAGGCCCTCTCCCACGCATCCATTTGGATGCGCCCAGTCTCAAGCGCTTACATGGAAGTCATTGCGGCCGTAGCTCCGACAGAGTTGGAGCGTGTCCATATGTTCGTAGCTCCGACGACAGCGTTGGAGCGTGTCCATATGTTCACCCAGTTTTGTTGCATATCTGGATTTGATCGAGCAGATGTTGAGGGAGAGTGGCTCTCCTTTTCTCTCATGGAGAGATTTACGAGACTCCGGTGTCCTGTTTTCAAGGACTCCCCAAGGTACGAAGCTCTCGTATACTTGGCACTGGAGATTTTGCTGCTTTTCTGTTCCAGAATGGTGTTTACTCCAACTGCCATCACCTAAAGAAGCTTGGCGTGCTCGAGATGAAGATCCTTGGGATCCAGCAGAAAAATGGCAGCGCTATCATAAATGTGATCGAAGAGTTGATGAAGCGGTGCCCATTGTTAAAGCTCGTTGTTAAAGCTCGTGGGTTCGAGCGCCGCGCCAAGGGAAGGATTGGATCCCCAGCGCGCGCAGCGTAGGTTCGAGCTGGAGTGAGATTTCCAGATAAAGCTTGCTAGCTTGGAAGCCCGCTATAGTGCTCGTTTCTGCCTTGACATTGATCTATGAACCTTTACTATTTCGTGTCTTCAGCTATTATCAATTTAAACTCGAGATCTGTTGCCCTTGACTTCGGTAGCGTGCATTGACGGCATTTGATTGAAGAGCAGGAAGACATGACTCAGGTGAACATATGACACTGATGTTTGGGAGCATTGTAACGACAATCTTCTTTAAATCGGCATTTCTAAATCTTTTAATCTCATGCTTCATGGTGGGCATTGCGGGAAAACAGTATATGAATGACTAAATGTTTGTGTGATTCTTCTCTGTAGACAAGGCTGGGAATTGTGAGCTCTTAAGGTATGACGGCTAATCTTACAGAGCGTTCTGAAACAGGATTCACTAGTGTTGCCTCAAGTCTAAGGAAGGAACAAGAACACGGCGGCTCTGCCTTTCACGTCCAGCCGAACTTCTGTTCCACGCGATACGAGTTTGCAAACTGATGCTTGACATCGAGCACCTGCAAATAAATCTCTCCATAGAAAAGTTCTTGCCAACAATCCTAGGAGGTATGCCAATGTGAGCTTGATTCCTGGCCACCTTTTTTATGTATGTTTACCTTCTTGCCTAGATCCTCTTCTCGTTGCCTTTTCTTTGGCGATTGTAACTCCCGGAGCACTTTTCACATCATCTCTTGTGATACTACTGTTTCTACGCATTGACTTGACTCTTGGTTGGTTTGACGAAGTTGGAGCTGCTAGACACCACGTGGACCTGGCGGCGGGATCCTCCAATCACGGCCGGCCACGAAATCACCCTTAGAATATGCCCAACATTCCTCGCTCTCAGGCAGAAAAGAAGAAGCGCGGGGTCTTGTAAGTTCGTCCTATTAAGGCGAGAGAATGATAGAGGCTCACGGAGATGCAAGCTCGGTAAGGCAAGATTTGATCTTCGTTTTTTCCTAGCTCACCTTCCAAGCACTTCCCAGGTTTTGAAGCTCGCTTTCAGAAGGAGGTTTCTCTTCACGGAACTCCCTCCTTGCGGCCCTCCATAGTGAAGGTAAAGAAGAAGCAGTGAAACTTTTCTGGCTTTCGTATTTCTCATTCTCTTCCGCTTTCGCAGCCTCCGGAGTACATGCCAAAGCGGACGCTGCAATACTCGGCATGGATTGGCGGTGCCATCCTCGCCAAGGTGGTGTTCCCTCAGAACCAGCATCTCACCAAGGGAGACTACGATGAGTACGGGCCAAACATCGTCCACCGAAAGTGTTACTAACAGATTGCTCACTAACTCAAAAAGGCTCGAGTCTTGCCCGTATGGGATTTCATGTGGCAGCGGGATCCAAGCGTCGTACTCGATCCTCGCCGCTGACGGATTTCTTGATAGTATTCATAAGTACTAAGTCTGCCTAATATAATTAGAAGGTTAGTTAGAAGATTTTCCAGCTCCTGACCTGAAACAATGAATGTTTCAGCCTTTACGCAAAGCACATCCAAACATACTTTAAGTCCTCATCTGCGTGGCTGTGGGTGGAGTACGCGGTCTGGAGGATCCTGGGACCCAGTGCTATCAAAGCATCGCAGCGCCGTGCTGTGGCAGCCTCCTCCGCGTTGGAAACTATCCTGTCAAGATAACCAGCCTAGAAGATGGAAAATGGACTCGGACAAGCCGAGGATTGAACCCATGCTGGCTCACTGGTCAAAAGCTCCAGGGTTGATCGGTCTAGCTCTTCTAGCGTTGGTTGGTCCCATGGCCAAAGCTCTGGCGATCGCGTTTTCGATCGTGGCACTAGACGCAATAGCAGCGCTTGATGATCATGTAAGTTTCACATACAGCAACTTCTCGGGCCTGGCACGCAACGATTTTGTGGCCACTGGTGACGCGACCTTCAACAATGACGAGCTCCGGCTCACCGGCAATCGCCTGTCGAGCTATGGCAGGATCATGAAGCAGCAGGAGATCCAGCTTTGCAACGCATCCGCCGGCGCCGGCGCCTCCTTCTCCACCGAGTTCGTCTTCGCCATCACCAAGAACGACTCCACACTGGTCAATGCCGATGGCCTCGCGTTCACTATCGCCCCTAACCTCGTCCCCACCTCCTCCGCTGGCTATGGCCGCTGGCTGGGCTTGTTCGATCCCGCCGCGAATGGCCGCGCGAGCAACCGCATCGTCGCGGTGGAATTCGACACTTTCATGAACTTTCCACCAGTCTATCCCGAGTTCCAGGACATCGATGACAACCACGTCGGCCTCGACATCAACGGGATCCTGTCCGTGAACTCGAGCTCGCTCTATCCGCGGAGGATCTCTCTTGGCATCGGTACCGTCGCGGCGAGAATCGATTACGATGCCGCCGTGCAGAGGCTGCGAGTGTTCGTCTCCTCCGACCCATCGTTCCGGAACTTGGGCGACCCGGTGCTGGAGCACAGCGTGAATTTGTGCGCCTATGTCAGCGATGTCTCGTACGTGGGCTTCTCTGCCGGCTCTGGCACCGCCAACCTCGACTTCCACCGGATCCTGTCCTGGAACTTCTCGAGCAGATTGGAGAGGATTCCTCCTCCATCACCAGTGACAGTGGTCGATGGTGGAAAGTAGAAAGATCGATTCAAGGTTTACTTCATCGTCACTGCATCACTCCTGGCGTTCCTGGCCGCGTTGCTGCTCCTCGCGGTCGTCAGCTGGCTTGTCAAAAATCCCTGGAGCAAACTTGGCTTCCCATCCGAGAAGAAGAAGAAGAAGAGCTCGTCCAAGGACCTTGTGCCGCTGCCACACGAGATTCCCTAAGCGCAGCTCACCTCCGCCACCCGAGCACAACCTCCTGGGCACAGGCGGCTTCGGCAAGGTCTACCGTGGCATCCTCCCCGGCGAGAACTCCCCGGTGGCCATCAAGAAGATGGTGCGGGACTCGCACCAGGGCGAGCGCGAGTTCCTGGCGGAGCTCCAGATCATCAGCAAGCGCAGCCACCGCAACCTTGTCCCTCTCCGCGGCTGGCACTGCGCGCGCGACCACCGCGAGCTCGTCCTCGTCTACGACTACATGCCCCAGGGGAGCGTCGAGTCGGCGCTCTTCCACAAAGGTGACGCGCTGCTCCTCCTCTGGGACGCGCGGCTCCGGATCCTCTCGGGCCTCGCCGCCGCACTCATCTACCTCCACGAGGACTGGGAGCAGCAGGTCATCCACCGCGACGTGAAATGCAGCAACGTGATGCTGGACGAAGAGTTTCGCGCGAGGCTGGGCGACTTTGGCCTCGCGCGCACAGCCAGCCATGACGTGAGCTCACGCACCACCACGCTCGCGGGGACGCTGGGATACATCGCGCCCGAGGTCGGGGTCACATACAAGTTCACGCCCGCGTCGGATGTCTACAGCTATGGCGTGGTGACGCTCGAGGTTGTGACTGGGAGGCGGGTGATTGGGAGCTCCAAGGAGAAGGATCACAACGCATGGCTGCTGGTGCCATGGGTGGAGGAGCAGTACGCGGCCGGGAAGCTCTTGGGTGTCGTGGATCCAAGGCTGTAGGGAGTTTTCAACGCGGAGGAGGCCACCAGAGTGCTTGTCACGGCGCTGCGATGCATAGATAGCAATCCGGGAAACAGGCCAACGATGCGACAGGTTCGCAACCTTCTTTCCGTGGTTCTTCGTGATTGACTCACGTACAAGGTGTTCTTTCTTTGATACTTCTTAGATACTGAAAACTTTGGTTTTTTGCTGGAAG